GCACCCATATACAGGTGTACGCACGTTGCTAATTGTAATTATAGACTTTCACGCGTTAAGTACATAATAGTCTCAAGAGCGATCAGGCTCATTATGAAAACCAAGAGGTCTGGAGAGGGAAAGAAAGAGAGAAAGAGCATAAAAATATTGCGCAAGAGTATGTTTTTGTTTGTTGTCTTGTCTGTTATACATGTAGTCTTACGAAACGGCATATATGCGGGTACGTACTACGTATGCATGTGTGTGTGTGAGAGTGTGTGTGTGTGTGTCAATCTGTCCGTGCATGCCACCGACGCCTACACGTACGTGCACTTACACAGACACACAGACACACAGGCCAGTGCTTTTGTATCATACAGGACCCTCCACGCGTGTAGTGCTTATTACAACCCGGCAGTAGTAGCATTTGAAAAGCCAAAGAGCTATTATTTCACATAGATCAGCGTACACCTTTTGGCTACTATGTTTTCTGATGGAATTAATGACTGATCTAGGAGGACTTATTTTCTTCACTCTTTTTTCAAATTATATAATATCGCGTTTGTCATGATTTAGATATCCGAAGAATGTAAAATATATATTTATACAGCTTATAGTAATCAATTGCGTATATCATGGATTTATATGCGGCTTTAATGGGAATTTATTAAGAATATTTGTGGGTATTGTCGTTGGTGTGATATTGATTGAATATTTCATACATTGCTTTACTCGATATTATACGAATAAGAAAATGAAAAAAGTTCGTGTGTACTGCATCGTAACGACACAATAATAATAGTAGTCAATACAAATGTTCACTTTGATTGACTGCATAAGCGAAAAGTAAGTCGTGTTTTATGAATTCTGAAAACTTCGGAAAGTTGCATTTCAATAATTGTTGACATATTTATACTATTTATATTTTTGAGCATTTATTGTTGTATTGCTCAATCTTAAATAGTTACAACAGGAATGTGGGCGACCAATTTCAAATTCATCTGAGGCAGATTTTTTATGTCTAAAAATTTTTACTATAAAAATTGTTTAAAAGGGGAACGGTATTGACTTTGTTTAATAAAGGATCGTGTAGAAACGAACGATAAAGGCTGATAAACTCTCTATAAGCTTGTCTTTGAGAGTACCGATAGTCGAGTAAATGGGAAAGCTTTCGACTACCGTAATTAGAATCTTTAAAATAATGTTACAGGGGTTCGTACTAATGAGATTTTACTGTGTACCTTTGGTTGTTAGTGTTTGTGATTGCTCAAAGATTAAATACTATAAAAAAGTGAACATTATAATAGTTATTCATTTTAAAACTGATCCTTTTTTATTTTAAGCAATATATCGAAAATCTTTTTTATTCGCCCTTTCAAGCATCTACTTTTTTATTTCCAATCGTAAATATTGCGCTTTGACTAGCGTGTCAAATGAATTCTAAAGTTTAAGCTCATTGAAACAAATTTTCTCATATAATGTTGCATTAAATCAAAAAATACGGTTGTACACCGTGCGCTCGAAATGATTTATAACGTATAAAGCATTTACTTTATCCTTTTTTAACTGCAACGATTTTCCAAAATATAATCGGCACGAGACTCGGCTTGGCGTAAAACACATCCCGTTTTAATTTCCATCGTATATTCTGTTTGTATGTGCCTGCGTATAAATCATGAGTTTGAACGTATACGCTTGTGTGTAAAGTGTCATGCGAAAAAGCGATCAAAAATTTTCACCTCTGCGCTCCCAAACAAATCATAAATTTTGAAACTTTCTCCCTATATATGTATACCTACGGACACACTCCCAACTACAATGAAGCAGAGCTTTCTTTCGTATGAACTAACGCGTGTCAAAACATCGAGAACAAAATCAGTTGTGAATATTATGTACTCGTAGAACAAAGTGCATGTATGTTTATACCGGTCATCTGTCTATCTATTTGCCTCAACCCTCGAGTAAATCATATATCAACGCCGTGATTGATCACCGTAAATAGTAATTACATGCCTCGGAGTTTTATGACCTACTGCTATGTGTATTTTTACATACAAGAATCGTACAAACTTACAAGTCATGCAGGTGTGAATTTCAGGTGCAAAATTTGAATTTTGAATCTAACAACGTCTCAGTTACATCATAAATCGAGTCTAAATTCTGTATGCAACAAACAAAACGGGCCAAAATGTTTTAGAACAACCTATATTGGTCTTTCGCTGACAAAGTGCCATCATTATTCATCGCCCAACGATGAGCGATGAATCGAAATGAATTTTTGGTAAAGCCTTTTGAAAGGATATATCATATCTTGTGCTTTGAGTAGCAGCAATCATTCTTCTTGGAGCTCGAGATTTTAGAGGACTTTTTTGACGTACAACTCTCGTTTTCAAGATTAGCATCATTTGTATTCGAGCCTAATGCCAATGACTTTGTGTACACTCGAGGAAAAATTTAATAAATGATGTTTTTACAAATTGAAGGCTCGGACGTGACCCAGACGTCTTTACTACTATTTTGGTTAAATTATGAAATTGTTGTTGACTAACTCGAAGAATAAGGATAAAAAACAATGCGTTTAAAAAACGTAAATAATCTTCATTAAGAGAGCAATATTTCAGAGGGCATCAAGCCATTAATGATAATCTCAAAAGTTTCTACATCTATACCTCGGTAAAAGTTAAAAAGCAGACGAGCCGCTGCGCATATCGCGTATTATAAGTGTAAAGCCCGATGCTGCACCGCATCACAAGAGAGCCGTCTTGACAGCTTTTTACGAACGTCATCGACGCAGAAACATGTCCGCCTTTTCTTCTGTCTTGTAATGCACCGACGCGCTACACACACACACGAGTGCGCGGATGCATTATGGAAAAAATTACTGGTTTTACAGGATACTTTCTGCCAATTTTTCGTGAATTATATTACGGGTGAGCATGAGCGGTATACTTTTACTCGCGATAAATTTCGTAAGAATATTTTTACTGCTCTTTTTTTGCTCTTCCTTCCTCGGGATCATCCATATGAGTACGCGAGTGCATATGCTCGCTCGATTTATATCTCATTTTTTATTGTGCCAGATTATCGCGATAATTACTCATCCTTATAAATATGCATGATATTATGTCTTATTAAGATTGGAAAATTGTCGCCGTTGGTCCATGTAAACTTTCGGCGTCGGGTCAGAAGCAGCGTGTGTTGAACAACACCGAAAATTCATCAAAACCCGTTTTTTATATCTGGACGCGCTTCTCGTGCCCTGATGTAAAGTTTCTCGCACAGTGCGAGTATCATTCATGTCTTTTATTTTACCTTTTTCATTGAAAAAAAACCAAAGTTCTTTGCCGCACTCTGTAATGCATAAACATCGGGCGGGCAAAAGTTACACGAGCCGGCGTCAAGATGGATTCATAATGTTATATGCATGACGTGGTGAATGAAATGCAACGTCCACGCAATGAAGCGCGTTTAACTTAATGAATAATCCAAAATTATGAAGAATATGTTACAAGTACGTGATAATCTACCATGTACAGTTTGCGGTCGGAATATTCGTTCACTTTGTATGAGACACGAAAACAAAAAGTCGCAAAAAGGCTAAATAACATTTGCGTGGCGACCAAAGTGTTTTTGCCAAAACTATGCTAGCACAATTACATAAATTGGATGTAGAGTCTATTTTATTCTCGACTCGTTACCTGAGAGCTGCTTATTGCGTTAATGATGAATAATAAAAAGAGTTTGTAAAAAGCTTGAAATAATAGTCGATTCAAATGAGTTTTTACGATTGGCGAGACACAAAGTTCAATCGATCATAACTAACGAGACAGAAAATGTCTTGGATCCTCCGTGACTCATTTTTCATCCTCTTTCAACAATAAACACTTTCATAAGGCTTAGTAGACTTCCGCAGTCATGATCTCTTCTGCACGAAATTAAGGTCGCCGCATGAAAATTTTATCGAATCCATTCCAAAAGATTATTTATGCATTATAAAATCTCAAAGTTCATTTTATTACGAAACTTGCTTCAATAATTCATCAATGCAGCTTCGGTTTCTTACTTTTTGCAAAAATTGCGATATAAAGGGCTCAAAAGTATACTTGGGATGAGATTTAAAAACGAAAATTTCATACCAATTTTGTAAAAAGGATTTTCCTACTCCCTTTTCATTGAAGTACTTAACATTTCCAAATTTTATTTTTTAATGAGATACATCTGTTTTTATGAGCTTTTTGAGTCCACTTTTTGTGTGAAATTTTTTCTTTTTTTACGTTTTCTGGCGATTTATATATTTAAACAATTCCTTTCATTTTTTGTAATATCCAGGATAAACCATTTTAATTGTTACGCCTAGGTGATGTACTCTTCTTCGGAACATGAATAGTCTCAATGGTATCCTTGGGCGGGACGAAAAATAGAAAATTAATCATTTCCTCTGGATTCGTGATATTTTGAATATTTTATCTCATTCTAAAGGATCAGCGAAGCGAGCTTGCGCAATATTATAAGTAATTTTGAAATTTTTGTACGATATTTAAAGTCGAATGGACTGATAAAACATTCCTGCATATAAGCGTAAACTTTTTGAATCCTACCTGGCGTGGGTAATGTGTTCGATGGCAGTTGAGAGAACGAGAGAATGAGAGAGAGAGAATCAAACGCAGAGATGGGTACTCAAGATTTATTCGCGACTTGAGTTTCGAGTTTGACGCACTTTACAGACTATCTCTTTCTTTCTCGTTTTCTCTCTCTCTTTCTCTACCCGTCTCGATCGAGCGCGCGGATACACGCGGAAGCTCGCCTTATAATCTCTACAATATATTTCCTCTCTTTCTCCTCACTGTATATATGTACAAGGTAAATACGTTACGACGGCATCTCTCTCGGGTCTTCCTGCTTACATTATATATACGCCTATGTCTACTGCTACGCGTGCGCGCGTATGAAGGAGTTGAGCACGTAATATATACATTTTACTCGTGACCATTAATCTCAAATTCTTTTCTTCTGTTTTGCAGAGATCGAAGCTCAAGAGGCTTGCAAATGGCTGAGGGCCGCTGGATTTCCTCAGTACGCGCAGATGTACGAAGGTGAGTACTTTCCAACGATTTGCTAATAAATGCGTAGATAATTCGTGAATTTCCTAATTTTACTTGATTCAGTCCTACTTTTAAACTTAAAACAGCCTTTAAATATGACCAACTCAAGAGTTCTTGAAGGTGCCTAATATTCTGGTTAATTAGCGTATCAATTATTAAGATGATTTGCAGTTACGAACCCAACACATATTAGTTGCACGAAGTATACGGGTATCCAGCTCCGAACCGCAGGGTCGCGTTATTGCGTGAAACTATGCGCAGGAATTTCATCGATTAGTACGTATGCACATATGCAAGTGTGCAGGTACGCGTATAAGGCAGTTAGCTCCCCCTCAAAGAGTCCTTGACCCTTTGAGGTGTTGCGGAGTTTCGGTAACTGTAAATGCGTGTCTGCGCGAGACATTTGCATCAAGCTCCGAGGCAACCGCGGTGAGTCGGGTGCGTTATAAACTATTTAAGCTTCAAAAATTAGTTAGTGAATTTCACATTCTTTTACCTCGTATAAGGTGCCTTGTTGGAATTGATATATACAAAATCCCAAACTCAAGGATGTCTCATTGTATAAGAAGTTTGTGGAAAATGATTGTACATTTAGCAAATGTTTGTAAATTCCGTGATTTTAGGAGATGATCCAATTTTTCATCAATTTTTTTTTTTACGAAGTCGTGTTTTTTTGTAATAGTTTAAATTTTCATACATGAATCCTCTTTCTTAGATATAGTGCAAGCACAATAATATTTACGAAATTAGAATTAAGAAATTATGTACGGGTCAAGCCTCTAAAAAAACTGAAATTGTGCACGAGCTGCTTCTAATGTACATAAAAACTCGACGCTATGATGTCGGAAATGACACGAGCGTAATCGTCTACTGCTCTATTTGTGTGCATAATTTCGTTTCTAGTTTCACAAGCATTCAAATGTGTGTACCATAGAATATGTACTCGTACATGGTAGATCGCAGTGCATTTATTCATACTCATACAGCATGCTTAGAGACATACGTGAGCCGAGTTAGAGAGAAAAAGTTACGTAAGCGCGAAGCTACACACGTTATACATTGAATTAATTTTTATCTCTTCAGCTCGTTCGTTCGCTGGCATCCATCGCAAATATAAATGTATATAATATACATTCAGAACGGAAAGTACAATAGACTATTAATAGAAGGGACGGCATACATCCAGACATATAGCATCTCCCTTTTTCCTCCTACTCTTCCAGCAAATGTGAAACACACAACAATATGTATGCACATGTAGTATATGTGTGTGCCATAATAAACCATCAAGTCTCATTTTGACATTGTGAAATGGGCATAAAACCACGAGCATTCGAGCGTATTGTCATGCTCTCTCTCTCTCAGTTTTTCAGACAAATTTTCTTGTTTATCATTCACTGCTTATAAGTGGATTATTACGTAAATTCGTGCAATCGCTTACGAGGCAAAATTTTCTGCCCTTTTTTCCTCTCTACCACTTTTACTACAGAGCGTAGAAAGCCGCATATTAGCCCGTTATTTGTGTAACGAGAAAGAGATAAAGCGAGCTAGCACAAAACTTTTCGGTGCATCATACGGCTATATACATGTGCTTATGCAGCTCGCGGATTAGAAACAATATGTGTTATAAGATTTTACATTGTTTTCTTCGATTACAACACATCTCGCGAATGCCATATACACACATGCGCCGAACTTACATAATCGCTCGAGCTCAACAAGCCCTTTATATGCTGGCGCACACGCGGGACGTTTTTTCTTCGCTCTGCAAGTATTATATAGATTGTCATCACTTTTAAGTTACATGCCCGTATTATAATATAAACGATAAATCAACATCGGCAAAATTTTCTCTTCGCGACTGTGGCGGTGAACATACTCATTATCATGTAATGTGCGATACGTTTTTGAACAATCGATGATAAATATCGCTCACAAATAGATTCAAGCTGCACCACTAATTAAATCTAATTTCGTATCGAAGGAAAAATCATATGAACAAGCTAAACCAGGGCTCGTTAAAAAATGGTAAATAAAGCTCCGATTTTGTAGAACCGAAAAATAGTCGCACGGCAGCTCTTAAGAAATCGCGCGATTCTGCATAAAGTAGCTATTAGCGCGCATAATATATTATATTGGAAATCTCTAGTGAGAAACGCGCATGGCTTTTACCATGAAAACCGTCCGCCTAGCCTTCGGTAAAACGTAATCCGTGCACGGTGAAAGAAAAGCCAATTGAAAGATATCGGGATTGCTTTTTTTGCGGCACGTGGTTTGTCTCGCGATGGACACTTCGTGCCGTGCAAACTTTTGTATCCTCTATAGATATAAATCGAATCTCGCTCTCTTCGTGATTTTGCATTTTTAGCTTCTTGTAGTTTTTTCTCTTTTTTCCCCCCTCTCTCTTTCCCTCTCTTTCTTTCTTAGCGGCAGATTCACTCGTGCGAGAACTTGCGTCACGAATAAGACGCGCGAAACACGTGCTTTTAAGTTTGACACTCTTGCACGATTCTTCTGTGTGTATATGTTAGCCTTATACGTTCAATGGTATTTTCCCGGCGAGGTTTTCGGTCCATTCGCATATTTTTCCAAACTGCCTGAATGGATGTTTGCGAGTGGAAAATTTTCGATTCAAACGTTGAAAATGTAATTTAATTCTCTTGCCAATTTCAGTAAATAAAATACGAGACTAGAATATTAGTTGTAGTTTTGCGGTTTGAACTTGAACTTTTAATATATTGACGACAGTTATTAATTTAAGATATAGCATGATTTCTATGAACATTTTAAAGAACAAACACCAATAGTCTTTCGAATGCATTATTTATTTGTGTGCATCAGATCGTGACAAAGAAAGTAGTCATTATTTTCAAGCCAGCTTGAATCATGAAAAACACAAACATCAACGTTGCAAGTTACCAACAACAATAATATTTCGCTCGGTATCACAAATTTCCATACATTAAGCGAATATACACGCGCCACATCACTAAATATGCCCTCGCTCGAGACGGATGATATTTTTGGGCAGATGAAATGAGATCAGTCTCGTGTTTTGAGGTACTCGACGCACGCGATGCGCGAGGCTTATTTGACGAGTGCAAAATACACTAAACGCCTACTTACTCGGGCCAAAGAGCGAAATTTTCCAAATATCATTGACCGTTTTAACTCGTCGTGGCCGCGTCGATCGGTTCGAGAAACGCACTCTGTGATTTACCTTAAAAGCGTTCCGTTGCAAGTGCCACACAGCGCTAATCTTCGTTTAAAAAAAAACTATTTGCTTTCAACGACGCCGTACATAATTCGATGGAAAACAAAAGAGCCATAGACAATAGTATACCATCCGAAGCTTTCTCTGACAAAATATCATCATATCATATATTTACGTATGAGTGCAGACGCGCGATATATTCGGTGAAACGCGAAAGTCGCGAATTGATGTGTGTAGCAGCGTTGCGGAAGAGTCTTGAGCGCGGCGCGACGAGGACGACGACAACGATGCGCCATATTATAAGCTGCTAGAAGCGTCGTCTTCCTGCGCAGACCGCAACAAATCCGCTAATAATAATGATATAATAATGGCGAAAGCTGTCTTCACTCTCGTTGTGCGCGCACACACACGTACACACGCTACCTTCGCGGCCTCGACTGCGACAGATCTTTCTGCATTTTATACGCGCGGGGCAAAACGTATGTATGTACCTATCCCAGAATCCTAGAGGTCAACTGCACCGCTTCTGCTGATGCTGCCACGACGACACGCACGCTTAATTAGCTGAAAACTGACGGGCGCGAGAGTTTCGACGAATCCGCAGCTCGCTCGCATTGACTTTTTGCCGCGCGAGCTTGCGGCTGCTTCGAATAATTAATGATTCGAGACGTCGACACGATTAGTGCTTTAGTATGGATTTAACCTGAGAAGGAGATTAACGCGGCAGCAACGCAGCTAAACACGTGTATATCGGTAAGCAGTATACTCTGTGTGCATGTAGAAACGGCCGAGGAAAGACATCGCGCGAATATTTGAATCGTTGCTTTTTCTCGATTGTTTTTGGCTGTTTCCTTAGCTAAATTTCGAAAAGGTCACCGAGTAATGAGTTTTCATGCGTTCATATTTGTTGATAATTTTTCACGCGGAAATACGTATACATGTTCGAAGATGCCATATGCGACGAGCTGAGCAACATATGAGAGCAAGGCAAGGTGATCCCCATTGTGGCCCTGATTTTACATAAACAAATAATTATATGTAGGTTAAGGGCACTGTGCCACGTACGTATACACACATCTGCTCCGTTGCATTTAAGCAGTCTGCAAAAACGTTATTAATTTACCTCTCTCTCTCTCTCTCTCTCTCTCTGTAGTACGCGTGCGGTATTGACTTATTTTTATAAAATCATTCAGGCTATACGGGCGCGTTTAAGTGCGCAAATATTATTTTTGAGCATGAAACTCGATGGTCCTTCAATTTCGACGCGCGTACACGAATTCGAGATACGAAGTTACACGTAGCCGAGAAACAAGTCCGTATAAGCTGCGCGCAAAAATCTGGATCGTCTCTTTGCGCGTTTGAATGGCGAACATCGAAAATGTGTCGATACGATCGCCCCGATGATTCGACGCCGCGAAACAGATATATTATATGAAGCTGTAAAGCTCGCGCTCGTCTCGGGTTATAACGTTTATTGGCGACGAGTATTTTTATTTGCAAAGTCAGCAAATTAGAATGTCTCTTATATATTAATACGTAAAAGCGAGCACAACTTGTCCGTCAAGATACGCAGCGTGAGATATTTTGCCGCTTTTATAAGGCGCGATCAGCGCGCGCACGCACACTGGGATAAATATAGCTCGCGAGAGCTTGATATAATGATAAAAGGTGACAGTTATGCGCGCGCGCACTTTTTGACTGACTGCGCGTTATATCTACTCGTGAAAAGTGACATTAGACATTAACAAAGTTTCAGTTTTATTGCTCTATCGCGATG